TTCAGTAAAAAATAAAAAACAGAATATATACACCATTAAAGGAAAGTCAGATATCAATAAGAACATGAGATATATTCAACATCTCAAAAGAAGAAATACAGATAGAAAAGTATAATACAAGCAAAAGGAAAGCAAGAACTCGAGGACTAACTAATTAAGAGAGGGAAAGGAGAACAAGAGCTAGGAAACATGACAGTGACAAGCCATACAGTTATATGTAGAAGATGGGCAAGGCAATGATCCTGAGAATCTTCAGATTTTTGAATCTAGCAGTTATTTAGAAAGATTCTCACCCTGACTAACTATATATACTGATACCTGTGAACTAAGCAACTGCCCTGAAGATGGGAATTTGTAATAGTAGTTTCATGCTTGGAGTGCCTGTTATTCTGGTATTCTGAATATGGGCTGCTTGTCATGACATGTCAATTGCTGCTGTGCTGTCTCTCAGGTGGATGATTGTTCAAAAAGAAAGGGGTGGTGAATGAAGGCTGGAGACAAGTAAAAGAATGTTGTGGGACTGTCCTGCTTCAAAGTTCTATATGGCTAGATTTCTGGACTTATATGTAAACATAAGAATTATATAATTCTTTATGCCTATTTTTAAAATATATTGTAATTTTCAAATGTTTTTCATCATATTTTGTAGGGACTTAAAGTTCAATATGTTAACATCTCTAGTCGTTAGAAAAATACAAATTCAAACAACATTGAGATTCCATCCTATGCCAGAAAAAGGATGCCATCAACAAATCAAAAAATATCAAATTCTGAGTAGGAAATTGTAGGTAAAATGGAACTTTTCTACATTTTTGGTGGCAATATAAACTAATACAATGTCTGTTACCAAAATCAGGATGAAATTTCTTCAAAAGCTAAAATTAGAAGCTACACTTAATCTAACTGCTCTCCACCTAATTATCTACCCAAAAGATAGACCTCATATTACACTAGTACACACATATTCATATTTATAGCAGCACAATTGATCATAGGTATATGTTGGAAACAGCCTATATTTCAATCAACGAATGAAAAACAAAGTTGACATTTTCACAATGGAGCAATACTCTACCTAGAGAAAGATAAACGAGCCATTTTCAGGAAAATGAGTGGACTTTCAGACAGAATGATAAATGAGACACACAAACTTAAATATCATATTTCCTCAAACATGAGAATCCTGGAATTTAAATGGAGAACCAAATAAAAGTTAGATAATACAAAGTGTGACATTAGATCTTCCTCAAACAGAAACTGGATTAAGAGATAAGTGTGTGGGGAGAAAATGTAGACATGTAAATGACAAAGTGAATTAAGATGCATTGTGCACATGTACCAACTATTCACAAGGAATATAAATATCATATACTGCAAACATAAGCCAATATAAAAGTCAAGATAAAGAGACAAGGAAAGAGAAGGAAAAGGAAAGCACAAGAGGGACAGAGATAGAAAATGTGACTAACACTATATATTAAGTGGATTTCTTTTATTCCTCCTGAAAATCAATAGACAGTTTCATATTAGAATTGCACTTATTGCTGAAAATAATTCCCACATGCAAGATACATTCTCAGAATTTGTAATAAAAGGTTACTTTGATAATTGGAATATGCATCAAAATTCTTAACAATGGTATTCCAAAAGTTGGTAAATCCTTTTTTTTTAAAAAAAAAAAAAATGATTTCCACTACACACTTCAGAATGGACTTGAACTCACTTTGTAGCCCAGGCTAGTCTCAAATTCACACAGATCCTCCTGCCTCAGCCTCCTGAGAGCTAGGATTACAAGCTCACTCCACTACATCCACCCAAAAATGGGGTAAATATTGACAACTGGTATTCTGTAATTGATACAAATCCTTCTCATTGCTTTACTGCAAGGTGGCTATAGTCTTGATTAACTATGGATGTTCATTCCAAATAAAAAATTATAAATCTAGTCTATGGTACTTTATCTTTAAAATATTTGTCCTTCTGAATTTCTAACTCAACTGACCAAACACAGAAAAATAAAAATATTTGCATTTCTGTTTAATCACAGAACTGGCACTGAAACATTTAGACTGAATTTCAACCAATTTGATACTATAAACATTTCCCTTAGTGATAGTACAATGATTCTCTAATCTGAAATCAACAAAATTAACATTGCTGGCTCAGACATCATGGGGACAGATTCAATATTCTGTGCTTGCAAAAGCTTTTGAGGTGATTCTGATGTCCACTAAACTTTGAGACTCAGTGTCATAAATTAGAGATGGGAAAATAAAATCTAGACCACAGAGGTTTTGATGCATGCCTAATTCACATACTCAACAAAATCCTGCCAAATCTAGATTGTGAGATGAGAAAAGATTTTTGATATGAGCTTATTTTTACCTAACTTCAAACATATTCTCTTATAATCTAGCTAATTTTGTCAATAATCTAGAAAAAGAACTTTAAGATGATAGTAAATGTGTATGCAAAATACATATATAAAAATAATTGTGTCTCTAAAATACTCAAGTCAAAAATTGATGCACCTTCACAAATTTTTTTTATGTCAACAGAATTTCCATGAGATGATTCTAATCCATGATTACCAGTGTTCTACATAATTTATCAGTCTTCCTATGTAAATGCCAATTAAATACTACATTGAATTTTCATAATTTATTTAATGGAATGAACTGAATAGTCCATATCTGGTCAAAAATAAGAGGTTAACATTCCTACCATCCAACATTCAAGAAAATGGTTGATATAAAGGAATAGACATAAAAGTAGCAAAGAAAATGGAGACACATGCTTAGCAATTTTAGCAAAGTCACAGAAATAATGAAAGAATGAGCTTGAATTGAATGGCAAAACAAAGAAAATGAATCCATAGAAAAAAATGCATATGAGAAAGCTTCAGAGAAAGTCAGAACTTTTGAGAAGCACTCAATCTAAAGTAAGATATGGCAGGCTACAAACCAAACCAAGCACTCAGTTTAACATGCATCTTCTCACGCAAAAAAAAAAGCATATTATATATACTCTTGGTCTAGTAGAAGAAATAGGCCCCCCTTGCATGTATTCAATTTTGTCTGTGTATTATGATAAAAAATGAATAAAAAAATTCTAGGTTATTGACAGAAAACTATCAGTGTAATGGGGACATTATACAATAGTAAAATTAAATCAACTGACATGCAAAAATATAAGTTTTCTGGGAAGAAAGTAAGACAACAGTTATGTGGGTTTCTTATTTATTTATTTATTTTTTAACTGGGAAACAAACTTAGGACCTTGTACTTGCCAGGCAGGCATTTAAGCTTCTTAACTATTTTTCCAGTATGAGTTGCATCAGTTTTTGCAGTGATGAACTTGTAGGAACAAAAATTTATCCAAAATAATGAAATATATCCAGAAACCTAACAGTAACTCTATTTGGCTATAACACATACTTCATTGTAAGAGCTGTATAAGAATTTAGATCATTATATTTTTAATGGTCGAACCAGGGATTGAACTCAGATGCTTGTGCTTGCCAGGGAAGCACTTATTCTACTGAGTCATCTCCCCAGCCCCAATATTTTATTTCTAAGTGTCACAAGTAATGCAAACATGAAGAAAATGTAGGGTAAAGAATATATGTATAAGTGCATACTCATATATTTGTAAGTATATGTGCACATATATATAAATCATATAATCTGGACACATTGATGACCAAATAAAATTATGCTTATCTAGGTACCCATACCACAAAAGCATGTAAGCCAGCAGCAATGATAATGGACTGAGAGATACTAAGGTGAGATATAATTTAATCTGTGGCTTGTGTATGAAGTTATCATTTGATAACAAAGTTTGGATGGCAAAATGTCAGCAGGCTAGAAGATAGGAACTAAGACTTTACAAACATAAAATTTTTTAGGTTGAAGGACTCAGTTCCATCATTAGAAAAATGTGTGAAATGCCTATGTTGAGAGACAAATGGCAAATATAGTCTTTCAAATTGATCACATTATAATTCATGAAGAATATGAAGAGAAAAGAAATACAACATACAGAATTTTTCTTTCCCAGACAATCACTAGACATTAAGTATCATATCATCTTATCATTGCTGAAAATTTGGTAATATGAATATAAATTTGCTTCTGTGTGAAGAATATTATGATAGACTTTAAATGGTAGTGATTATTTTTATTTGTAAAGAAAATTAAAAATATTCCTTCTTACCATGCTACCATTTTCCTATGTCCGCCTTTGTTTAATAACTTAATTTAATCTATTATCTTTCTGAATTAGTGACACTTTTTCCATTGCCCAAAGAGGTAACACACCTATAAAGGACCCAAAAGGCCTTCCACAACAGAGATAATGGCATTCTTCTTCTCTTTCCTCATGAACTCTGATCTAAGAGCAGCTTACTTTCAGACTTTGCCTGTTTTAATTCCCTTCTCATATTTATGATCAGACTCACTTTTTTTATATTTCTTTTAAATGTTACTAGTTAAATAGCTCCAAAAGGTGAAACTTAATACTTTTTAAAACAAGTGGAATGAAAGGCCTTTCCAAAGATTCACAGTCTTCCTGTATTTTCTTGTCTTTCAAACAAAAATCTGTGACCACAGAGAAATGCATGCGTTGTGAGTGCCAAGCTACATGGCATATTGTCTTTATAAATTTCTACATCGAAGTGCTTTAGAAAAGCACTTCAGTTTAGTACTCAGTATGCTTATTGTGTAAGAACACAACCTATATTTTTTTACTTATTTTTAACATTAATTTCTGTATGACATGAATAATGAATTTAAATTATTTATTTGAGTGAAGGATACATATTTACAAGAAGCTAAAGAAGAATACACATGAATAAGAAGTTAAGTACAAAAAAAAACTTAGCTTCTTAGCATTATAGGGCTACAACTGCAGAAATATTTTAATATCACTGAAATCCATTCACGTATTCTTCCACAATGTTATTTTTAATTAAAGGAGACAAGATGTTATTATGAGATCTAAGCATTTGTTTTCAACATTTTTGTCAGCGATGTTGTGACTTGCTTGTTTCTCAAGCTGTAAATAAATGGATTTAACACAGGGATTATGACTGTGTAAAACAAAGAAAAGACCATATCCCTATCATCTGTTTCAGAAGATGCTGGATGCACGTACATGAAGAGAAGTGGGCCATAGTATAGAGACACAGAAAGGAGATGTGCTCCACAGGTGGAGAAGGTTTTACTTACACCCTTTTCAGATCTTTTAGGTAAAATAGTAATGAGAACAAATGTATAAGAGAAAAAAATTGTCACAATGCTGAATACTTGGATTGAACCAGAGAAAATGAAAATCATTAGATAATTAATGGCAGGATCAGTACAGGAAATCTTCAACAATGGTATGATATCACAATAAAAGTGATGTATGATATGGGAATTACAGAAAGTTAATCTGAATAAAAAACTTTCATGAATTATGGCATGAAGAATGCCACCTACAAATGATAACACTAATAGCTGGATGCAACGTCTACTGGTCATAATCAATGGATAAAGTAAAGGTTTGCATATGGCAACATAGCGATCATAAGCCATTGCTGCCAAAAGGAAACATTCTGTGGTTACACTGATCACAACAGAAAAAAATTGTATCATGCATTCAGAGAAAGATATCATCTTATCTTTACCTGATAAGTTAGCCAGCATTTTTGGTGTCACAGTGGATGACAGCCAAGCATCTACAAAGGCTAAATTTCCAAGAAAATAATACATGGGTATCTGAAGATGAGAATCATTTCTAATGAGCATAATCAGACCAAGATTCCCCACAATGGTGATTAGGTATATTGCCAGGAACACCAGGAACAAGGGGATCTGCCACTCTGGTTGATATGGGAGTCCTGTTAGGGCAAACTCTGTCAACAGTGTCACATTTCTCATGGTCATTTCTTCAGTGAATGTCTGCTGAAAACAAAAGCAGTGTAAATGAAAACATGGTTTATGATTTACAACAAAAAATGGGAAGATATGACTTAAAAAATCACTTATACACATTTATAAAATTCTTTTGTCAGAATATGTGCTACTGTGATAGAAGAAAATAATTTTGAATAATTACAAAGTCATAAACTTCAAATAATTCATTTCAATAAATGTGCAAAAATAAGAAAATACATAAACTTGAGAGGCTTTCTAAGTTTTTGAGTAATTTATTGAGAGCTATGGAATGTTGCTAGTAATTCTAACAACATTTTTAATAATTATGAGAATGAAGAATCTCTAAGATTAAAGTACATTTTGGGTACTAAATGTGGTTAGTGCCAATGTGGTGAGTGAGCAGGTGATTGAGCAGGTGATAATCAATAATGAAACAGAAAACTACCTTAGAAATTTGTGGAGGAAAAATCTCTTCAAATACCACATGAAACTGTCTGCTAATTGTGTAAAACTGCACATTCGCAGATGTAATAACCTGGATGTAATAACCTCCAATTACAAAGGAGGCAAAGGTATGGATAATTGGAGGCAAAGGTATGGATAATTTATCCATCAATTTGGGCAACCAAAGAAAAGAGAAGGGAAAAGAGAAAATGCTGAGAATATTGTGCTAAGGAGATTATTTCATTTATTAGGTAGTCACACATGAAATCCTAACACATAAGTCTGTTTAGTAGGTAGGGGCTATCGTACACTTGAGAGTCTGAAAGGGGTAAGGAACTCCCATTGCCTCTTAATTTACATTTACCAAAACTCATATATACAGGATTTGTAATAAGAAGGGAGAGAAAGTACAGAGACAATAAAGAAAAGACAAGAAAATCAATAATATTAAGATTCCAGCAAATACAAACTGTGTCTACATTAATGCCATTGTTGATGTAGTTGTGGAATCTAAGGTCAATATCAATGTCAGCAATCTTAAAGAAGATAGTGTTGGCTCATAACTTGGCTGTTTGCTTCTTTCTTTTCTTTTCCTCCTGCCCATTTCTCAAGCTGATTCCTCTATCCTCTCTAGCATTTTTCACTTAGAGCAAATTTCCATTAAGAAACTCATTTTTACTAGAACCTAGAGCACCAGGTTGAACAATGCGGCAAAAGAAAGATAATAAAAATAATGGTGCTCTGAAAAGCAAAGGAGAAAATGGAAAGCAGAGTAAATGAACATAAGGAGAGGGCAGATACTCAAGAATAACACAGTACAGTATCAAATATCAAAATAAATGTTCTAATAAGAAGTATTAAGAGTTATTTGTTCAAATTCAGAAAAGTTTAATGACTTTATCAAGAGCAATTTTGCCATGTATTAGAATTGAGATCATGTAGTTATTGAAAGCATATTGGAAACAAGTAACATTGTGGGAAAGAGCATAAAAGCGTACACTGAAAGTAACTGGTGAATGTTTGGCATTTTCATATTGTGTGTATTCAAATGTAACCCATATTTCTAGTAAAGCATTTTTTAAAAAGTTTTAAAGCACAGAAGACTGAAAAAATGAAGAAAAGAATTATGACACAAGCAGTGGAAAGAGAAATTTAGGTAGGTGAAAGAAAATAAGAGGAAAAATACAAAATAGCAAAATTAGATGTAGAAGAGAAAATTCAAAGATCAAGAGAAAACATATCACAGAAAGGTTGAAATGAGATAAAGGTAAAGCTCAGAAGTTCAGATGCTATGTTCTCTTTAATCCTGTAATTCATTAAAAGTTGAAATTCATAAAAATATTTTTCTGACTCTTTCCAAAGTACAAGATATTTTTCTCTCATGGAATATGAGTACAAAATAGAGGCATCATGTGAAATTATGTTGCAGAAATTGTTTTTTGTTCCTAAGTATATTAACAGTCATTGTTCTTTCTGCATCTAAGTTCTCCATTATCTTTAGGTAGGAAGATAAGAACTATAATTTTAATGTTTAATAATTATGTATACTGATAAATTGACAAGGTAGTGGATTTTGGGTAATCTCACTACCAACAACAACAATATATTTATTATAGGAGATGAAGGATGTTATTGTGATTTTCTATATTTTTAGTTGAGTATGTACATGTTTATCAAACTGTCATGTGAAAAATCTCAAATATATTTTTATCTTCATATTACAATATTTGAAATGGACTATTTTTTAAAATAATGTTTAATTTAAACATACATATAAATATATATATATGGTGTCAGATGTGTATAAAAGGATAGGGTCAATATGTAAATGACATCTCAAAATTGTAAATGAAAATTTTGATTATATAAAACTGCTGGACCATTTTATCACTATCAGCAGAAATAATTTATAGAGAATTGTTATAACTTCAAATTTTACACTTATTTTTAAATTGCTTAAAGCACAAGATCTCAGTATAAAGTCATTAAAAGGAAAAAATGTTAAATTATTATTGCATACCCATATTTTAGTTCAAAAGTAAAATATGAAAATAAAAAATTTTTCATTTTGCTATTTCTGTATCTTATAAATTCCACCTAAATTAAAATTCAAATATTTTAGCTTTTATATAAAGAATTTAGAAATAAATATTATTTTGTCATACCTACATATTAAAAGAAAGTGGAAGTCCTTTAAAAGCATTAAGCTTCATAAAACAGAAAAAAATATAACAGCATACACTCGATGATAACAAAACAGGCTCTACTTCACGTTTTCATTTATTTTGGAGGTTTCATTTCCACCCTCAGCAAAATGTTGCATTTATAAGTTTACATTGAACACAGAAGCCAATCAGTTGTACAGCTGTGTGCTTTTTCCAGAAGTTGAAGATTGGAGATTTGGAACTTACCAAGGACTACCAGAAAATTCCCAGTAGAGAAGTAAAGCTATTCTACTGGGTACTTTGAATGTGGATGTGAACAAGAAGCTTAGCTGTCCCCAAGCATTAGAGAATTCTAAAATCATAAGCCCTAAGTCATCAAGGATTTTTCGCATCTTAAAAATTAAAATTGCAGCCCTCCTTTTTCTCTAATTTTGGCCTGCAAACATAGGTTGTTAACCATCCAGAAGACAAGCTTATTGTTATTATCAAACGACTTAGGCTATTAAGCTTAACCTCACCATCTCTCTGCATTTCAAACATCTTAGTCATAATAAGGAACAGGTATTTTTCATCAAGTATTGATATGTTGAACTTTAAGTCCCT